TCCTCTAATATGTAACTAATAAACTAGTTACAAGTTGTACAGCCAAGAAATTAAATGTGGTTATTACCTAGATAAAAAATCCTGAGGCACTTGTATGAAAAATGATAATCGAAATTGCAAACACTACAATTTAAATGAATAGTAATCAATTAATAAAATAAACCCTTTTCAAACTATGCTCATAGTTTGAATAAAAAATTTATGAAAAAACTTTGCCAAAGTTTTTAAAAATCTATAATAAAAATGATAAAAATTATGAGATGCTTTCATACAAATGCCAAAATTTGAGTGATTAAACAAATCATATGGAAAAACCACTTCAGTTTATATCAGTTAATTTTTTGTTGCATAATAAAGTACCCCAAACTTAGAAGCTTAAAACAACAAACATTTATTATTTCTCACAATTTTCTAGATCAGCTAGTTTTATCTGGTCTCAGATGGCAATTAATCTCAGTAGTCAGTGCGATCAGCTGGGTCACCTGATGGCTTGGGTGTGGGTGGATGGTCTAAGACAATGATCAGCAAATTTTTTCTTAATGGGACAGATAGTAAAACTTTTAGGCTTGCAGGCCATGAGGTCTCTGTAGCAGCTACTAGACTTCACCATTGTAGCAGGAAAGCAGCCACAGACAAAACGTAAACAAATGAGTGTGGCTGTGTCCCAGTAAAATTTTATTTACAAAAACAGGCAGCAAGCCAGTAAACTCTAGTTCGCTAACCCCTGGTCTAGGATAGCCTCACTCACATGTCTGACAGTAGGTAGATTCATAAGTTTAGGGGAACTCAGCTTGGACATCGCACCTCTCTCTGCTCTAGTAGTTTCTTATCTTCCAGTACGATAACCAGGGTTTCTTGACATAGTTGTATCACAGTTCCAAAAACTAGCAAATGAGGGCATGCCCCAATGTGCATGGTTGCCTTGATTATGTCTATGTTCTTGAAGAAACTGAAGTATATAGGAATCCTACAGTAATATTTTCCCTTTCATAATGTTATAATTAGCAAATATCAATACATCTACTGAGTAAAATTATAAAACTGCATTTCAGTGTACCTCAATATGCAGATTTAAAGCCAACAATGTTAAAAAACTGCTCCACTTTTCTAGAACACTATTGATAGCACTTTCATAAACACATTCTTCACACTTATAAAAATTAAATAGGATTTACTTGAAGTGAAACATTAACATTTTGCCCTTATTCAAGATCTAAAATTTCAATTTACAATGTCAAAGGGCTAAAACAATTGCGACAATTTGATCAATGTATAGACTGTGAATTTCTAATTACATAAAAAGGGTATTCTATCCCAATCTTCAAATTGTTCTTTTTCTTTTATTCTATGCTTTAAAAACAGATTGGCATTTCCTAATAACCAAACACAAAACAAATTCTATTAAGATACAGTCTAAGTTTGTAAAATTTAATACACTTATTGTAAACAAGCAAGCCATTTGCTAGCTTTGTTTCCTCTTTCTCTTAAAATGTGTTAAAAATACTCAAAAGGCATTATTAAAAAACCAAAAAGAAGTTCATAATTCTAGCAGAGGACAGGTTGATTTATCTGAGAGATTAAGTAGTTCAATACATTGTTTCTAAATACTGAAACAATAGACTAAAATCCACAGTAATTAAGTCAGTTCCTAAGAAATATGCACAGCCTGATTGACATTTAAACCCCCAAATTCTTGAATAATGAAACTGTTAAGGGAACCAAATACACACATCTAGTTTCAATAAAGTTGGCAATCCCTTAAAATATTCTGCATAAATAATTTTAACCTTAAGCATTAACATTAAGGAAATGATTAAAACCACATTTTTCATAACAAAGGGTATAAACTGACCTTTATTTTATTAGCCTACAATTTGCTTCACCACTGTTTTTCTAAACCACTCTAATGGCATATATACCTTGACAACATCCCACAGATGGTTATGATTATGTGTAACAAGACAACAAGCTCATTGAAAACCTTTACAGATGCTTAGCTAATGGGATGTCACATTAAATCTAATAAAGATTTAAAAACTTTATATCAATAATATTATAAACAAAGATATATCATTTGAAATTAACATTCAAACATTCCTAAATTAATTCCATAAAAGCACTAGATTAGTAATATACTTACTTAAGAAGGAGCCTTAAAAAGAAGTGTAGACATTACACGGCTTGTCCCCCTCACACAACCTGCTTGCATCATGTGCCTCTGGGGCAGGGGAGTGGGAAAAAAATACATAGATATTTTTTGCTTTCAACATCTTAGATATAGATGCTTCTAGCTACAAAATTCTGGTAAATGTCAAAATTCAATCTACTTCTTACTTCCTCTCTTAATGCTTAATGACTAATTCCTTAGAGATGTCCTTAAAAGCCCTAAAATGTTGTCCTTTGGTAGAAACTTTCACCAGCAATCAATCAGGAGCAAATTAGATGATTGTGTTGAAATGTACTACACTGTTTAAGCTAACAAATGAATGAAGAAAGGTAGTATATCGTAACATATGCCAGTACACTGAAGTCGTTAAAAGGGTTTGTTGGAAGAATATTTGGTTTCCAGTGTAGCAAATATGGAATAAGAAGGGACAGCGATAAAAGAATACCAAGTCATATGGAAATCCAAATATAGTGACAGACACAATTATTTTACTAATTGCTAATGAATACAGTCAAGTGGCTTCAAAAAGCAAAACTTTGCTTGGACTACTTCAGGTTTTGACCTCTGCATGAGCAAATGCATTTAAACTGAAACCCACCAAAATTGATTAACGGCGCCAGCCAAGGCCAGCATGTAGTTGAAGCTTTTTCCATCTATCACATGGCCCCAAGGATAGTTAAATGAACCTTAAAATGGCTACAAACAGCTCAATGACTACACAGAGTCCTGCCAATTAGAAATAATTAGGCAGTCATTTTGGTGGTAAGTCTTTTTAAGTGCATACATAACGATGCAATGATGCTTATTAACGATCTCATATGAGCTATGCTCAAACAGCCTGAAATAATTATGCAACTATCACAAAGCCTTGCTCATCTCTGTACTTCACCTTAACGCATTTAAAAATCCACTTCATTACCTCCAGTAATTAATCCTCCATTAATTGCAGGAAAAGCTCAGTTTACCAAGCTTCGTTTCTAATTATCTTATAAATAGTTATGGTTCTAATTAATGTGTTCATTAAGATGAATACCTTTCTCAAAGCCATGCTCAGAGCAAAGGTTCCACTTATTCTCTCAAAAGCCTAACTACCATAAGGTGAGGCCATTTTTGTTGCATTTGCTTTTATTTTAATATACTCAACCTCCTAATTGGCATTTAAAATCTATTTTAGAGAAACTTCAAGAAGGTGTATAGGGGAAATAGGGGCAAAAAAGATATTTTCAAAACTCTTTTCCAACCAATAACCTTAAAACCTTAACAGGAAAACTTTAGTGCATCTTTTCTGATAAAAATTGACTAATATGCTTGAGTACTATATCCAAGTGAATTTAAATACCATACAAACTTAGCTTTTGCCCCTTCTCTTCAATTAGAAAATAAGACAAGAAAGATGAAATATGCTATTACAACGAATGCATTTAAATTTATATTAGATTACATAGCTAAATTGCCACTATAAAACAATTACTCAATATAAATTGTCAGCCATCAAAGAAAAAACTTACACATATCCTGGGATCACCAATATTTCCTATCATTTAGAAGCATGCTAGTCTATGTGCTTTTTAAAAATATAAATCTAATTCTGTGCTACAAAGTATATAGCACTTAAAAAAACACTGGCTATGATTCAAAGATAAAACATGATGCAAAATAACTTTTTGTAAACATGAATATTTTTATAATTTTGTGAATTTTTAGAACAATTGTGTAAACAATTTAGAAGCACAAAAAGTATTCTTAATTTTTAAAAAATCAAATTTTATTTTCCATGAATAAAAGAACAAAAACAATTTATTTGGGAATTCAAGTAGGTAAAATCCCTTAATAAAAATTTTTAAAAGTTATTAGTGTAACAACCCTGACAGTTAATAATAAAGCTATAGTTCCACATATGATAGATGTCTCCTGCTTCTCTGTAATTTGCTGTTGCTCATTAATCTTCCCCCCTTGTCTCTTTCCATGTAAGATAAACCTGCAGAACGATTTCATTTATGAATCAAAAAAAAAAAATTCTACAGGCAAAATTCTAAACAGATAAGTTTCTTCATAGATAATTATAAGTGTAATTTCTGACATAAATTTCTCTGGAATAAACTTTTTAAAACATGCTTCACACAAAACTACTGTGGCTGTGTATTCTCACATTAAAATTTCTGATTATAGAGACTAAATAAAATTTGCTAGAAGGGTAGATGGAGACTGACAATGAGGGAATATCTTATATGTTTTACAGCAACACTCATTCATTCTTCTAGTCTGAGGATACAGTGGTGAATGCGACAGGCAAGGGCTCTGCCATAATGGAGTTAAGAGTTTAATTCCTTTAAAGTAAAACACCCCCTGCTAACTTAAAAGAAACATTGCTACAACACAGAAACAGGTTGGTTTTAGCTATAATTTTCAATTCTGTAATAAGTACTATATCAAGTACTCCTTAACATCCAGAGTGTCAATCCCCTCCTATAACCAAAAGATCCCCGAAAGACGACAACTTGGCCCAACCGTGTGTACAGCTGAACCAAACACAACATAGGCACCAAGTTGTACTATTATTTTTTAAATGTATGTAATTCAAAAAGACATAATATAAATATAAGTGGATCTATGAGAACATTAGGTTTGGTGAACCTACCTTCTAAATTTTAACCACTTCAATGACACCTTACCTAGTAGCACAGTGATCCTCAGTCTTGGCTTTGTAACACTCCATGATGTCTCCAACAATTTCAAAATGAGAATTATAAAGTTCTCACCACAAAACTTATCATTAATTCACTTTTATTTAAAAAAAATAAATATTATTTCAAGGGGAAAGGGAAAGGAGAACAAATGGTAGTACCACAATATCCAAAAGGTTAGACATTACTCTTCCTTTTTAATCTAGAGGAGTTTAGGAACATCAGTTCTGTTTATCCTGAAAAGTTGAGATTTTAGAATACTCACATCATTCACTCTGTCTTTTCACTCCCCTACCCCCTCTGCAAAACTGAATCTAAAGAAAGTCAAGGACCATCTTTATTAACACAACAAAGTTTCCTATAACTATCTCACAGTATCAAACTAATAATGTTGATGTTAGTCCCTCAGACTAACATCCTTGGTTTTCTCCTTGGTTTAAGGAAACTTTTTTCAAATTTCTTCCAGGCAACCAAATTTCTTCCTGTGTCAACAGTCTTATCCACATAAGTAAACTGGAAGCAATGGTTCCTAACAGGCAATAATGAAAAGCTGAAAAAAAAAAAAAAAGGCAATCTAGAAGCTTATTCTAATGGACCAAGTTTAAATGAACTGAAATAGTTAACATTCCTAACAAATTTGATTAGGCTCTAAATTGAGATCTAAGTAAAATGTTAATGCTCCTAACTACTGGATTGGAAGTAATGTTAATTCTTTATCATTACACAGATAATAATGACAAAAATAAAGGCAACCCATTACATAGCATTGAATTGGCCTTTCCTCACTCCAGTTAGTAAAACAGAAGAAAGCACATTCCAGTAGGCCAGACCAAAAATAATACTGTATGAGAAGATTTCTGATATCTACAGCTCAGTACAGTGCCAATTAATAATGTTAATTCTCCACCGCCTGCCAATGCAGGGGACATGGGTTCAAGCCCTGATCTGGGAAGATCCCACATGCTGCGGAACAACTAAGCCCGTGTGCCCCAACTACTGAGCCTGCGCTCTAGAGCCTGTGAGCCACAACTACTGAAGCCCACGCGCCACAACTACTGAAGACCACGTGCCTAGAGCCCACGCTCTGCAACAAGAGAAGCCACTGCAATGAGAAGCCCACACACTGCAAAGAAATGTAGCCCCCACTCGCCACAACTAGAGAAAGCCCATGCACAGCAACGAAGACCCAATGTAGCCAAAAATAAATAAATAAAAATTTTTTAAAATCTAAATGTTAATTTTCCAGGTACTTAGTTTTAAGACATAAAAATCTAAAATTCTTTCATAGACATGACTAACTTACAGTATTTAAAGAAGCCTCACAAGGGGCTTCCCTGGTGGTGCAGTGGTTGAGAGTCCACCTGCCAATGCAGGGGACACAGGTCCGTGCCCTGGTCCAGGAAGATCCACATGACACAGAGCGGCTGGTCCCATGAGCCATGGCCGCTAAGCCTGCGCGTCCAGAGCCTGTGCTCCGCAACGGGAGAGGCCACAGCAGTAAGAGGCCCGCGTACCACAAAAAAAAAAAAGAAGCCTCACAAGACATTAACTAAGAGAGAGCTTTGTTTATCTATTCTGTTGTATTTTCTTCATAAGGTCCAGTAAGAGTTTAGCAGTGTTAATTATTATTCAGAATACAGTCATTTCCCCTACCCATACCTTAGGCAGAGTATTCTTCCTCATCCTTGACAGTGAGCTTAACCGCATGACTTGTTCTGGCCAATGAAATGTTGGCAGAAATGGCACTGAGCAGAGGAGTTAAATGTGCTTATTAGGAAGTTGACCTTGTTTTCCTTTTGTCTAAGAAGCTTTGTGTAGCTTCTGATCCATGGTGAATGAGACATACAAGGAGCAGAACGGGTCTCAACCGCCAGCTTGGAGCCAAGCCCAAGGAGCCAGCCTAGATCAGAAGAGGCCCAGCTGACTCACAGATGTCTGAGAGAAATAATTCTTTTTGTTGTATGCCACTGAGTTCTGAGATGGTTACTATGCAGCATTACTGTGGCAACAGCTAACTAATACAAAGACATTACTAGCATCAGAGGGTATAAAGGTCATCTGCCAAGGGGAACAAAGAGTACAACCTAGTGGACAGTAGGATATCTGATAGGAGTAAGAACAAGGGTTTGAAGTGTTACGAATCCCCAGCTCTAGCTATGTAAGCCTGAGCAAGTTACTTGACCTCTGTTTCTCATCTGTTAAGTGAAGGTAAAGTACAAACTTAGAAAGTGAGAAAGGTTGCTGAGACAGTCAAATAAAATAACATATAATGATAACACAATCCCAAAATTCCTAGCAGACAGTAGATACTCAATAAATTTTAGTTTCTCCTTTGTTCTTCTTCTTGGCTCTAAGTCAAGCTATTAAAAAAATTCAACACACTTTCACAAAATTTTTATTACATGCAAATACGTAACCCCATTTTTCAAACTAAACTTTGAAGTAAACACCTGTTAAAGTAATTATAGAATATCAATTTCTGTGTCTGAGAAGAATCCTCCCCTTTCTCATGGATCTTACTAATCATCTTTCTCTTTCCTGCTGTAAATCTTAAGTTTTTCATGATGAAACATTTTTCTATGGAAAAGACAACACTTTTACTTGTTTAATAAGCAAAATTTCCATCTTTTCCTTCCTATTTTTCTTTATATGTATTTCACCACTTCTTCAAAAAAAACAAAAAAAACAGTAACAAACAGTTAAATCATCAATACATATTTTCTCCTTTTGAGAAGAAAAGGGCAGATTCATCAAATAATATTTATAAAATTATTTGAGTTATTCAGAAGATGAACTCTACAAATTAAAACTTGTAGTAGGAATTTATTTTCTTAATTTTAATAAGTGAATGGCTTCGGGTAGTGATGATTTCTTTAAAAAACAGAGGCTTCAGGGAAGGTCAGAGACTCAGACACAGACACAATCATTCATCATAAAAGACTTCAGGGGACGTTTTAATAACTACCTGTGGCAGGATCTCGCTCATATTCATTATAAAATTCCCAAGGCAGACTTTGCTTTCTCATTCATACTCACAAATATACAAAATGGAAGCTTCCCATCAACTGTGGTGTAAGTAGATGCATTTAAACATCAGTTGTTTTATCACGGCATTTATCACCACAGTTTGCAATAAACAACATTAAAGTTTTATAGGACTGAAGTGAACCCATACATATGCACACGTGTGTGTCATACACATGCACACACACACTCACAAGGCATGAAGCAAAGATTACTGAAGCTATGTGATGTTCACATTTATTTTTAACTACTTGGTCACAAACAAAAATATGATTGAAACAGACCAATTTATGAATCAAATAAGGATCTCACACACATTAAAAAAAAAGGACAGAGAGGGCTGTTTTTAAAAGCTCTTATCAGGGCTTCCCTGGTGGTGCAATGGTTAAGAATCCACCTGCCAGTGCAGGAGACATGGGTTCAAGCCCTGGTCCAGGAAGATCCCACATGCTGCGGAGCAACTAAGCCCATGTGCCACAACTACTGAGCCTGTGCTCTAGAGCCCTCAAGCCACAACTACTGAAACCCCTGCGCCTAGAGCCCGTGCTCCGCAACAAGAGAAGCCACTGCAATGAGAAGACCACACACCACAACGAAGAGTAGCCCCCACTCGCCACTAGAGAAAGCCCACGCGCAACAACAAAGATCCAATGCAGCCAAAAAACAAAAAAAAATTTTTAATTAAAAAAAATTAAAATAAAAGCTCTCATCAAAAAAATAGTTTTATATGTATATATACTTGTATTTTATTTATGTGTTTAGCTACGTGACATGGAGTAGCTTATTCTTTAACTCTACTGCATCTTTTCCATTTAAAACACTCTCAAATCCAGGAGCTGTATTTCTACTCCCTCTACCTGCAAAAAGGTGCTACTCTCACCTTAATTCTGCTACTCTTCTCCCTGCAGAAACAGCTAGGATGAAATCAAACTGGGCTTTTAGGGCTTAAATTTGACACTGTAACTTGCCTCCTCTATCTATATAATAAGGATAAATCATGTGAGGAGCAAACCAAAAATGTGTATGAAAGTGTATTTTAGAAAGCCTAAAGGGTTACACTAATATTCCTACAATCATCTTAATGGTTTCCATGTTCCCCTGGCTTTGATACTGACTATACTGCTTCAAAAGCCCCTTTTAGATGAACCATGCTTGCCAGACAAATGGCCATCATATCCTGTTCTAGAACCATCTAGACCACCTCCAATTTACCTCAATGACTACTCCTTTTTTTCATAGTTTTGTAGCCCATCTCAACCACATTATCTTGCTTGGCTGCTAGAACCGGTAACCTGGGTTGGACCTTGTTATCTACACATATTCTTTCCTTATACCCTATCTTCACAACTTACAGTTTCTTCACACATTATAATCTTAGGCCAGGCCAGCCAAACCTCAGCTGTGTCCTACTAGACCAGAGAGGGTCTCTGGCCAGTTACTCCTCTATATCCTACATTCTTGACTCTTCAATAAAAACAAAAAGTAGAAGAGATGGCATAATTGAGAGAAAGGGCTTTCGAGGCTACTTTTTGTGGGGAAAAGACACCCCTATTTCTAAAAAGACCAAAAATACCCCATGGCTCTGAGAAATACTGATGAACATTTGTTTCTCATTTCCAGAGTTTTGCCAGACCAAAATGCAGAGTGGTGGGGGTGGAAAAAGGTTATTTCGGGTAGACTTATTCTATTCCAAGAGACAAAAAGACAGTTCTACAAGAAATGTAGACAATTAACTGTATTAAGGAAACCTTTTACAAATGTTTAAAATGAATACTAAATGAAATAAGATCCTTTAAAAAATATTATTTTTAATTATAGCTGTGGATTTTTTCACTGGATATGTTAACTGCTACATGGAAAGCAAAGGTAAGAATTAATATAGGGCTTAGGTAAGAAGTAATATAGGACTTTATCAAGGCTCTGAATGCATCTGTACATATTTCAAAACCCATTAAATGAACAGACTGCTCACAAATATTCTATAAATTAATATTTCTGAAGGCATTTTTGAGCCTCTCAGAAAGTAAGCTTTTACCTTACTTTTTGTGTAAACACAGTTAATAAAAATCAGTGAAACCAAAGCACTGATGATCCAAATAGCATGTATATCACTTGCTTTTAATTGTTTCTCATGTAGTAGAAAACGACTAGGCCTACAGAGCAGTTATGACACTGCCAGAACCTCAGGGTCTCTGAACAGAATGATCTGTTCTAACATAATCCAGTTCTCCTGATCGAGATGGTCAGAAATAAGAATTTACTCTACATTCACCAAAGACACTTAACTGTCACATTCCCAGACTCTGGGTCATGATCTTAGAAAAGGCTTTGGGGCCAGACACACTAAGTTTGTATTCAAAAATCCTAGCTCCACTCTTGCTGCTCTCTGTCCTTGATACAGATATAAAACCTATTTTTGTCATCAGCAAATCATGATACCGATCCCATGGGATTGCTATAAGGATGAAATGAAGAGAACACATGTTAAGCATTCTGTATTAGTATCTGGACCTTAGTAAGTACTAG